TATGTTTCTGTGACTTATCTAACATATTTGTCTTTGTATACAGAAATGAAGCAAGTGAATCTTACTACTGGAAAACAGCGCTTAATAAAAAGAGCCCCCTTTTCTATCAGTGCTTTCAGGTACGGTAACGAGAATAGGGGTAGAAAGATTGGGCTTTTCCTCTCTCTTCTCTTTCTTAATATTTGATAGAGGAACAAATAGACTGAAAATGTTTTGGTAGGTTACTTAATGATCTTGATATTGATCCTTTCAGTACTGAATTGCACCTTACTTGACGAAATAGCAATATTATTATTTTATGCCCATGTTTCCTTTCGTCACAGAACCATCCAGTTACTTGGACTATAAATCCCAAGTAATTACCACTCTTCTCCACTGGGAAACTCCTGGAAGTAATTTCAGAGCTAAAGGAGACCTGAGGAAGGTGGGAGTGCAGTGGGACAGCAGCACTGCTATTGTTCCCACTGCGAGTTGTCTTTTTAATGTCTCTGGATTATATAGCCTGAAAAGAGGCATAAATACCAGAAGAGAATAAATATTTTGTATTGCTGTGAATGGAATCGCAGGGAAAATCTTACACTGTGTCTCCTATTTTCTGGAACGATTTCTCCAGCAAGTATTGAAATTCTTGCTGTTCAAAGAATTTATAATGAAACAGAAGAACAAAGAGCTAGCATATGAATTTTAAGGGCTACCCATTTGCTCATTCTGAGGAGATATTGTGAAAGGATTAGAGTAAAGAACAAAAATTTTTAAGTTTCTATCAGTTTATTTCACAAGATTTTGGCTTACATTTTAGCATCATGATTTAAAAGTTATTTAATTAATGAATGTTCTAGCACTTCTGTGGAATGTAGAGAAAACTATTTTCTTATCAACTATATCATATCCTCATTCTTAAGTATAGGAATTAATTATCTTTAAAGAGTATGTAATCTGGGAGAAAATGAAACAATAATGGGAAATGATATTGTAAATTGTAATTGCACATTATTGTATCTGGTATGTTTTGGTGAGGAGAAGCAGCACATGATGGGGTCCAGCACTTTGTTCTCTCACTGACTATACACACCATAGAAAAGAGACAGGAGAGGGAGACAGTGCACCAGAATGGAGGATGATAAGATATTAAAAGATGAAGAACAGTTAGTTGGGATACAGAAGAGTGATGAAGGTGAGGTGAGTATGTGCTGATATAGAAATGTTTATTTATTACAGGAAATATTACATGCAAGGTGAATAGTGTGTATTTTCCATTGGCAAAGATTAGCAGTTAACTAAGGCTATGGGCTATAGACATAAAAAAAAAAAAAACGCACACACACACAAAACTTTTCCATAGCTAAAAGATAGGGCAAAATCTTCTTAAAAACTGGTTAAACTATTGATACTCATTATCACAGCCTACGGATTTATCTCTGTAGTATATGAAATATTTCTATGAATCTCTAAGTAGAAGGCCAACAACCTGTTAAAAAAAAATGAGCAAAGAATTTGAACAGTTCATAAAACTTCACTCATAATAAAAGAAATGGAAATTACATCAGACTCTTTTTTTACTATCAGGTTGACAAAAATCCAAAAGCTTGATGATACATCTTTTTTATGAGGTTGGAAAATAGACATTCTTTATTTTTCTGGTGGCAATGTCAATGAGTACAACCTTCAAGGAAGGCTTTGGTCAGTATCTGTCAAAATCATGAGTAAATATATTCTTTGATTGAGAAATTCCATTTCAAAGATGTCATCCTAAAAATTGACTAGTGGACACGTACAATGATAAATGGATGAACTAGTTCTTTGCAACATTCTTAACAGTAGCAAAAAGTTGAAAGAACTGAAGATCTTCAATAAGGAACTTGTTAAATAGATTGTGGTGTCTCCATACCACGGAATTCTGTGCATCTTTGCATGTGCCAGACCCTATGGTAGGGACTGGGAACAAGGGTACTCTCTACCTACTGATGCAGAAAGATATCTAAGAAAGTAGTAAGTGAAAAATAAAAGCTGCAGAAGACACATGTTTCAAGCTACCATTTGTGTGGGGGGACAGATTGGCTTGTGTTAACCTAAAGAAGTTCTAGAATAATAACCAAAAGACTGGAAACAATATTACTTGGAGTTGAGGCAAGAGGTGAGAATTGGACAGTCTAAGGACTGGAGTGGGAGGGTAACTATTCACTATTCACTGTTTACTCTTTTTATACTTACTAATTTTTAAATCATGTCATTTTATGATCTTTTCAAAGTTGAAATGAGTTTTTAAAAATTAAACTGAAAATAGGCTTGAAATTTATTTCTTCCAGTGACCTCGAGTCACCACAGAGGGTTAATATGTCAGTGTCAGCCTGTTGCCATTGAACTCCCCAAGATTGCTCTCTTTTTCTGTGTTCACATCCAGTGGCTTAAACATGGTAGATAGTTTTTAAAAAGTTGTACTGGCTGACGATATTAAGTGTGGTAATGTGAACTGTGTATGAGAATAGTGGGCAATAAACAGAAAAGTTTAGATTTGAGTTAGATCTTGAAGGACATTGAATGTGTGGCTGAGGGGTTGGGATTTTATTTAATAGGCAGAATAAATATCTTAGGGAGTTTTATTTTTTTATTTTAAATATATTTTATTGATTTTTTACAGAGACGAGGGGAGAGGGATAGAGAGTTAGAAACATCGATGAGAGAGAAACATTGATCAGCTGCCTCCTACACACTCCCTACTGGGGATGTACCTGCAACCAAGGTACATCCCCTTGACCGGAATTGAACCTGGGACTTTCAGTCCACAGGCCAATGCTCTATCCACTGAGCCAAACTGGTTAGGGCTTAAGGAGTTCTTTTTAAATCAAGGGTTTTATTTTCTTCTCAGAAATTTCTTTTCTTTAGCTAAAATCTTCCTTACATTTTAAAGAAATTCTGTAAAATTCAGAAAAACAAGACAAAATGAAACCACTATTCTTGAAATGTTAATGTTATGTAGGGTTGAATGTTTTTCATTGAAGTTCTCAACTCAGCACTTAAAAAGGTAATACACAAGAAGATATTCAATAAATATTTTAAAATAAAGAAAGCAAGGATTACACTTAATTGCACTTATCACAGTATCCCAAACATGAAAACTCAACATTGAAGAAGTCTAAATCACAGTAATTGTAATCAGATTCTAATATTTTGTTTTGTCTTTTGCTATTTAAAGTTATATCTGTGAAAATGAGGCTATCCCCATGCCACCACATTGGGAGAATGTGAATACTGACGTACCCTATCAGGTAAGAGCAGAACTGACTGACTCTCCTGTGCTAGAGATGGAAGAGGACTTCAATAAAACTATTAAATTTTATTTTCCAGCTTATTCCTTTGCACAATCAAACACATGAATACAATGAAGTCGCCAGTCTCTTTGGGAAAACAATGGATTGCAACAGAATTAAAAGAATTCAGAGAATTCAGAACCTAGACTTGTGGGAATTCTTTTGCAGGTGAGATAGTTTCTAATCTGAACCCTCTCCTTGGCCTCTGAGACTTTTGTTGTCTTAGAGATGATAATGAAGCACAAACATTTAATTGTATTAATTTTCACTGCTGCTGTGTTTTCCTCTTGCTTTGTTTTGACCTGGTCTCTCAGGTCTCTTCTTCAGCCTTCTCAGGGAGTAAGAGAGATGCTCGGTAAGTAAATGCAAGGCATTGTTTACAGGGCTCGGGAACGTCCTGCCGGCCACATAAGGCCCGAGAAATCATTTGTTCTGGCCCTGCCAAGGCATTAGGGGTAAGTTCATTAAATGTTTGACCAAATACGGCAGGCTAATTTTTAAGTTGATAATTTTGTGTGGCCCCTGAATAATGTTATAAATACCCAAATGGCCCTTGGCAGAAAAAGGTTCCCCACCCTTGGCTTACCACATTGTAATGCAGTGGTAGAGGTTAGTCTCCTCAGCACGCTCCTAGAAACTTGCCCCTTTCAAGGTTCTGAGCTTCGCATCTTGGCTTAGTCAGCATTGCAGAGGAATAGGGGAGCTATTTAGTTTTGTTGATATGACTTTGTTCGCTCAGACTTTTATGTTGAACTAGTGGCCCGGTGCACAAAATTTGTGCACTTGGGTGGGGGTTGGGGGTTCTCCAGCCTGGCCTGTGCCCTGTCACAGTGAGGGAGCCCTGCGATCCATCGCCCCAAAGAGGTAAGCCCTGCCCACCCAACTGGTGCTCCTTGATGGATTGCCCCAAAGTGGTAGGCCAGAGTTGGTGAAGGCCTGTGGACCTTCAGCCAGGCCCACGGCGGAGGGCCCTCTCCACGCGCCTGTGGATCCCCAGCCTAGGCATGCGGAGAGGCCTCTCTGCCGCTGCCCCACCCCTGTCCCTGACGCTGCAAGTTCCCGCCCACCCATGCCTGCTGCGCACGCAGCCTGCTGATTGGTTGTTACTGTGACGATGTCCTGACCAATTTGCATATTACCCTATTATTAGTATAGATTATAACCCTCTGAATCATTGTTGAATTTCTTTTTAAACAATTACACTATCTTGCCTATAGTCATTTGCTTATTTAGTTTGAAGGACCATTGCAAAACATACCTGGAAATTTTCTGTTTAGCCCAAAGTTTATGTTGTAGATTTTAAAATCTCAATTTAGTACTCAACTGAGGTTGGAAATGACCCATAGAATTGCTCTGTGTGCACTTAACCTAAAAGTAAAGCCCACTACAAAACCAGAAGGTTATTGTCCAAATTAATCTGTTTGTTGTGCTATTTGTTTGTTTTTGTTTATTTCTTTCTTTTTTTTTTTTTTTTTACAAATGTATAGTAACAGAAAATACATCAGTATTAGTGAGGATAGAGGGCCAATTGAGAGAGGCAGGATGGAGGGATTACACATAGGAATAAGGAAACCGGGGAAGGTGATAGATATATTCATTATTTTTACAACAGATTAATGGTTGTTAATTGTAAATATGTGCAGCTTATTGTATGTAATTATATCACAAATTGTGCTGAGGAATGTAAGTGTTTTTAATAACAAGTAGTACCTAAAATATGTGATTTTCTGAAATATTTATTAAATACTAGAGGCCCGATGCATGAAAATTCGTGCACTCGAGGTGGGGGGTGTCCTTCAGCCTGGCCTGTGCCTCTCGCACTCTGGGAGTCCTCAGGAGATGTCCGACTGCTGGCTTAGGCCTGCTCCTCTACAGGAGGCAACCAGGCAGGCCCATCAGGTGATGGTGCCAGCCGGCGAG